AAAAATTTAAATTTTTTCATATGTCAGAACAATTCACTTTTGAGTATTACTGCTGCCACCGTCTGTATTAGAGGGAAAAATGGCCCCACATCTAGCTCCTCCCCTGGCTGGCCCCCTCCTGGCCCCTGGTACATTTATCTAGAACCACCACTGCTCTAATGGTCTCTAAACATCTTTGTTTTGTCTCTTTCTTTCCACAGACAGTGAAGGGAAGAAGTAGAATCATGTGACCGGGTCTCACATGATGGACGGCAGATTTATCAGACATCAATTCCTTGGTGTGGAATAAGCTTCGCCTCGCTGAGAGGCAGGGAACAAGCAAAACAGACAAACCTCTTTCATTTCCTACTGATGAACACCTACGGTTTTATAACACGTCACAGAGGAGCAGATGGGGCGGGGAGGGTCGGGTCGCTGGAACTAAACCGTTTGTCTACAAGGGTTGGACTCCTTCTATAAACCCAGATGTCTTTGTTTGGACAGAAACAGGCGTTTGGTAAAAGAGGAAACATCCTAGAGCCCCGTTCACTCAGCTTTACCTCTGCTGTTGTGTTTAACTTTATGAAATGCACATTTATTGTAGTGTAATATAATGACGATATGACTGAATGTAAAAGTAATAACTCTGTTCCAACTCTGTGGATCCTCTTTTTTTAAAAGCCCGTTGGGACAAGAACAGCATTAGGAAGCTAAAAAGTATATAATTATTGTTAATCTCATTCTGATTATTGAAGTGGTCCTCCCTCCTTCATAGTGCTGACGCTACATTTGTATAACTAACCTGTTATTGAGTGTAAACATGTTGATTGTATTGTCTTTATGTGGGAGTAAAACCTTCACCTGGACCCATCCAGTGCCATTTACCAAACCCTAGTGGTGTAAATATATTCTGTACAGATTAATGGCAGAGCACTACCATGCCCTCTCTGTTGATCACCATCAGCCATGCAGCAATGCCCAGCAGAACCACTAGTCTCCTCATTTTCCCTCATTGTCGGTTTTCATAAGTTACATATTTCATCTAAAGCTTTGGGTTGAAGCTAAACCTCATTCTCACTTTTTTGAAAAAGGAAATATTGCAAAATGGATAAAACATGAGATATGGAACATCAAGTTTTTTAAAGGAAAAGTCCGGTCAGTACACACTGGAAAAAAATCTAAATTAGGTAAGTCATTTTTTTCTTAAAATAAGTGCATTTGTTCTCGTATTGAGGAGGTAAAGGAGACATAACAATTTACACTTAAAATAAGAAACTACAATTGCATTGTGTTGTTTCAAGTGCATATTATCTATTTATATTAATTTAAGAGTAAAATTACTCATTCCATTGGCAAACTATCTCATTTAGCCACTCAAATTAAGCGTGACTACACTTAATTTAGGACATTTTTACTTATTTCTAGATCGTTTTTGCAGTGAAGTTACATTTGAAAGAAGAAAACACAATTGCATTGTCTTATTTCAAGCACATACTATCTAATTATCTTATTTTAAGAGTAAATATACTCATTCCATTGGCAAATTATAAGTAATATACTTATTATACTTAATTTAAGAAATGTTGACTTATTTCTAGATCGTTTTTGCAGTGTACTGCAAAATAATGAAATCTCAAGAAGTCATTTTTTTCCTCAAAATAAGTGTTTTTTTCTTGAATTTAGAAGGTGAGAGGCTTTGCCAATGGAATAAGACAATTTACCTAATTCACTTAATTTAAGAAATGTTTAACTTCTCTCTAGATTGTTTCTAGTGTAAGAAACGATCAATGGATCCTTATTTATACCCAAAACCAATATGTCTGTGGTGATTTAACTAATTCAGTGATTCGGTAATTCATAATCAGTAAAAAAAAATGAAAGCTAATTTTCATCAAGATCGCTGAGTCTGGGAGCGGCCATTTTTACCCAAATATAGTATTCCAAAAAATGAAAGTTAGAAATAATCCACTGGACTTTCTTTCAAAGTTTGAAGATGTTTCTCTTCCATCCAGGAAGCTTTTTCAATTCAAAATGTCAGAAGTTTTTGTTTAGAAAACATGCAAATTGTAACGGATGAACGGGTCCACCCACTTACTCCAATTACTCTGAATTAAAAACACAGATCATTTATTGAACAGTATGGAATGATTTTATATTTAAAGAACTTTCAGAAGTTTGAATTCTGAATATGAGCGGACTTTTCCTTTAATACATTGCCTTAACCTTAGGAGATAGGACTGAAAGTGATTAGTTCTTGCTTAATTATAATAGCGTACTAAACTACATCGTGTTAAATGTTTTCACATCCTTTCTGTTCAATTTCTCGTCATTCAGTCCAACATTATTTGATTAGAAAATTTTTATCTGTATTTTTTGGACCTTATTTATAAACTTTTATATTATTAAATGCAGACATAAAGTGGAAAAATACTCAGCCCGAATTAGGCCTACAGTATGGATTGTGTTTTTGGGACAGATTGTCTCAATGCTAAGTGGTCCAAAGCTAGCATGTGGCTAACACCTTGAAACCTGAACATCAGGCTTTCTTGCTAAAATCAATTGGATTTTTTTGTTTTGTTTTTGTTTTTAAATGAATATTGTATTATTTAACAACCTGCTAGTTAAACAAATTACGGTACTTTTAATTAAAATCGGTTAGTAGTATTGTCGAGAAATTGAGTGGGTTGTTTTTTTAATCTACCACAGGCGCCACATCCACGGCTAGGTATATTAGCTCCCTAGTTAGCGTAAGATTTTTTCCTACATTAAAGGATAACAAAATTATTATGAAAATGCTCAAATTAGCATTTTTATTGATAATACTTATTTTAGAAGCTGTGTTTTGTTTCTATCACACAGCTTTAACAAAATGAACTGGAGTAGCTATTAGCTTGCATTGCAAATTAAGTTAAACTCTTATTAATATTCCAAAAGGGAAATTTAAATGTTCCTGGATTCTTGTTTGATATCTAGATTTTGCTGCAGCTAAATCTGACCATGAAATAAGAATAATTGCGCCCATTTAATGCTATTCCACAAAAAAAAAAAAAAAAACTGTAGATTAGCAATGGCAATGTTTTTTTAGCAGTTGCTAATTCTAGTTTAGATATTTTTTTCATATTGGTTTAAACATCACTGAACTGTTAAATAAAAAGCTTAATTTCAATCAAATTTAGGGTAAATATTCTCAGAAATGATTTATTTTGTTATGGATATTAGAAGGAGGATTACATTTAATCAAGCTGTTTGTTTACAAAGTGCCAAATCACAAGAAATATTGTGTTCTGGTCATTTATACTCAACCCAACAGGTCAAGTTCAGTTACATTTATATCAACTGCAGCCATGTTTATACTGTCTAAAACTTGCCCAATTCAATCGAGTTAAATTATGTTTGAAACGGTCAAATATGTATTTTTTAGTTTTAATAATTTACATTTTATTTAACAAAAACAATTATGATCATAATCGCAGATTAAATGTTGCAGGAGGGGTCTTACTAAGAAAACTAAGAGCAAAATTCAAGCCAATCAGGAGTCCCACATTGTGAGCAAGCATAGGGCAACAGTGGAGAGAAACAATTAAAAACATTTCCATTTTTCAACTATTTAAAGGCCTATTTTCATCAAATTCTAACATTTTGATCTCAGCTTTAGTTTCTGGCCTTATAATTTCTCCCTGTCATTGCATGATGCTTGTAGTATTACAGACATGGATAAAATGTAGCCCAAACATTAAGTTTTAAACCCAGTAGGCTATAAAGCTGAAATAAGAACCAGTGTTACACTGCTGTGTTTTCAGACAGACCATCTTGGTTTAAGTAAACGGGGCATTTTTAAAATAAATACCAAAAAGTTCAGTGTTACAGGGCAGAGTTTTGTGCTTCACTATCTGTTCCCTATAAATGTGTAAGTTGTTTGTTAGATCATTTACGGTTCTACATACAGCAGGACTGTATTTCACAGGTCAAGAGGAAGAGTTCTTAGATGCAGGTTGATAAAGTTTTTATTGGTTGCCGGTGTTCTGTCAGACGAGCATACCTACTCAGACCAGTATACCCAGAGTCAATCCCCAGTTATCCCAATAGTTTTGTATGAATAATAAACTTTAAACTACCTCAAAGGGCTTGTATCCCTTTAGTATTGTACAAAAACTATTTAATTACTTACTTTTTGGTGTTTTTTTTAAGCGTATGGCGATCTGACCTTAAATTGTTTTTGGTTTTTTTTGTACAGGACTAAAGGGATACACCTACGTTGAGTTACACTGGAAAAAGTATTACCTTGCTCAAATAAAAAAAATTATATGATGTCCAGATATCACATCTAAAATACTTGAGTTCACAGAATCTGAATTGAATCACTTATTATGATCTGATTATTTTATGTTGATGTAAACAATAATTCTGCACTTGACCCATCTTAAAATCTTTGCCCTCATCCAAATAATTTTCTGAACATTTCAGTTGATGAATCAAAGTAATATATTGAAATTGAACCAGCCTAATGTACCTACTTTTAACTAAATTAACATTAATTAATGTTTGTATTGAAACCGGTTAATTAATTTTAATATAACAAAGTTATAATGTTCACATTTCATTGGACTTTACTTCAAAAATCATTTCCATTTCCTATCTTACAAACTATAAAAAAACACCTGGCCAACAGATTACTTTAAATGTATTTATTAATTGTTAATTTAGCCTTAAATGGTGTAAATCCAGGTGGTGTAAATTGACGTTAACTAACCTCGGCAAGTGGTAACAGTTAGCATCCGTCGCTAACATGCTCACCACAACAGCCCTGCTGCTCTTTATAACATGGAGGCTCCCGCTGCCATTGGCGGCGGGTATCCAGCATTTACCTCAAACAAAACTCCCCTCTGTACCTCCAAGCAGTGTTTGTTTAGCTCTGGATGTAGCCAGAGCTACGAGCGAGTGCTTTAGGCTAGCTAACATTAGCGATTAATTGTCATAACGTTATCAGTAAATGCGTAAACCCTCTCAGACGTCAACTAGCTAGTATTAACTAATTAACGAGCCAGCTATAACGTTGACTATATGCAACTGCTTTGCTAATTGTGTTTATTTATGGGCGAAATCCACCCAGGATGTAGAGACGAATAAAATGGCGCTCTCTCATGGTCTGGGACTTGGACTTGATCTGACTGCAGCGTAAAAAGCGCATTTCACTTGGGATTCAAGCACAAAAAAATTACCTGCAGGTCATGAAGAAATATATACACATTGAGAGAAATCAAAAACTTTGTTTTGGGTCATTTATAGTCATATTTAGTTCAGGTTAAATCAAACTTGATGTCTCAATGTCTCAGAATGAGTTAAATCAATAATTTTATCCAGCTTAGAGTGACGGTCATTAGTTTGAATGAACAGCTACATGTTAAACTTTTTTCCTGGTAATTTAAAGTCTATTTTTAATACAAAACTAAAAGGATAAAAGCAAATCTGACGTCTTGCGCATGCGTATTGACTATAACAGGGTCTTCAACGTTTTCCAGGCCAAGGAACCCCAAACTGATGGCGAT